TAAGAAAAGTTTAATATTACAGGACACACCCTTGGTTTCAATAGAAATTAAACACTGTAAAGTAAGAAAAGTTTTCTTTTCACTTCTGTACATGTAAAAAATGTATCCAAACATTTCTTGAATAAACAGCTTTTTAGAAATAGCATTTTCTATTTACTGCTAATGTCTGCAATTTCCTTATTGTGTATGTTGACACTTCGGTATTCTCATTATATTTGTTTCGAATAAATGTTCTGAATGGGATGCAAACTGTCTGCCTTGCGATGTAATCTCAATAGAGGCAGCGCTTTGTTATCCCTAACATGCGTTAAACTAGTTATCCCGTCAATGCGATCTGTACTTTTAACTTGTGATCTCATTTCAGGAAAACTGTTTTCAAACCAGTTCTCCATTAAACTTTTTCAATTTTATTCGAACGTGGAAGGTGTTTACGTTGAGGACGGATAAAGCAGTAAGATGGCACACAAACAGTTCCTATCTCCTACCTTTGTTTTTGCCATTGACCTCAACCAAGCACGAATAACATCCAGATGATTTTCACACTAGTTACTATAACATGTCAGCACCTTAAACATGAGATAAAATACACCCAAAGAACGAAGAGACTTGTATGCCAGATATTGGTCACTGCGACCTATTCTTCTGACCTCAATAACATTATTCTTTTTTACTATACAGTGTAGTATTTTCACGTGGAATAATTAAACTTAGTACATGGTAAGATCTAAGAAATGCGGAATGTGGCAAACTAGGTCACTGTAGCCTTTATCTTGACCTCTGGTCCCAGTGAAATAAACCGATTTCCAGAACATCTCTAATAGTATTTCATGGAGGATCATAAAATTGAATGTGAAATCTCAATGAACGTTTGAGCTATAACCATTCTTGACAGAGGACCAACATTTGTCATCCTTTGACACATGCTATTGATTGAAAATAACGTTTAATCGGAACACAAATATTTTTGTATATTTTTTCCAGTAAGCATTTACTTGCATGTTGATACTGCATAACTGCTTCCGTGAACCATAAGGGTTGCAAGCCATATTTGCACTACATAATGTTACGTAACCGAACAATGAACTTGACACTTGTGACAGAAATGGACCGTATCTTAATGTACATGAATAAGTCAATGTCATCTTATGATATAAAGTACAGGAGAATGAAACTTTCTTTACAACTTCCTTACTGCCAGGCACCCTGCAAAGAAAACAAACAGTGTTTAAATTAACTTCAATATCAGATTATGTAGACATTTAAACATTGACAACTTATATTTCCATTAACTTTTTAATTACGTTATCACACAGGACGAGGAACTATTCTATATATAGATATCATCTATTGTTAATTCCTTTTCAATGTTTACTTTTGTTTGAAGGGATTCGAGAACTTTATAATTATTATTTGCGCGTTTTTGGTGACAACTGCCAACCCCACACTCTGAGTAAAACATACACTACTGTGTCGATGGCTATTTTCATACCGGATGGCTTAATAAAAAGCCGCACGAATAGTACAGACGTATCAGTCTGGATCTTACATTGAAACAAAATTAAACATATCCATTTCAAATGTTTTTACTTGATATTAAAGTATTTCATCAAAGTTCAAACCTGGGTGCATTATTTGTATTTAGTTGGACTTTTATAAGTTATTAATTATGTTTTCTCAAGTTTTGATTTATGATGTTGACTTATTTAGTAAACAGATGTACATGTGATACGGTATTTCATTATGCTATTGCTAACAGTATAAGACAACTTGGGGCAAATATATATTTATCTATTGTGATAATGTTTTACAATGGCAAAAGACTACTGTTCTCCTTTCTAAATGGGCCCGAATTGTTTATTGAACATATCGTCACATCGTCATTGACAAGATTTAATACACTGCACCGTAAAATGAAATGTGATAAAAACAGTATGAAAAAAATATCATAAAAGGAAGATTAGGTTATATCTCGGAATCTTGGAGATACCAGATACCCAGATACTAGGGTGACTGAGTTAAATGTACAGAATAGACTGACAGATACCAGGGTGAGCGAGTTAAATGTTCAGAATAGACTGACAGATACCAGGATATCTCGGAATCTTGGAGATACCAGATACCCAGATACTAGTGTGACTGAGTTAAATGTACAGAATAGATTGACAGATACCAGGGTGAGCGAGTTAAATGTATAGAATAGACTGACAGATACCAGGGTAAACGAGTTAAATGTACAGAATAGACTGAAAGATACCAGGGTGAGCGAGTTAAATGCACAGAATAGACTGACAAATACCAGGGTGAGCGAGTTAAATGTATAGAATAGACTGACAGATACCAGGGTAATCTTGGAGATACCAGATACCCAGATACTTGGGTGACTGAGTTAAATGTACAGAATAGATTGACAGATACCAGGGTGAGCGAGTTTAATGTACAGAATAGACTGACAGATAAATGTACAGAACAGACTGACAGATACCAGGGTGAGCGAGGCAAATGTACAGAATAGACTGACAGATCCCAGGGTGAGCGAGTTAAATGTACATAATAGACTGACAGATACCAGGGTGAGCGTGTTAAGTGTTCAGAATAGACTGACAGATACCAGGGTGAGTGAGTTAAATGTACAGAATAGACTGACTGACAGATACCAGGGTGAGCGAGTTAAATGCACAGAATAGACTGACAAATACCAGGGGGAGCGAGTTAAATGTACATAATAGAGTGACAGATACCAGGATGTGCGAGTTAAGTGTACAGAATAGACTGACAAATACCAGGGTGAGCGAGTTAAATGTAGAGAATAGACTGACAAATACCAGGGTGAGCGAGTTAAATGTAGAGAATAGACTGACAAATACCAGGGTGAGCGAGTTAAATGTAGAGAATAGACTGACAAATACCAGGGTGAGCGAGTTAAATGTTCAGAATAGACTGACAGATACCAGGGTGAGCGAGTTAAGTGTACAGAATAGATAGGTTATATCTCGGAATCTTGGAGATACCAGATCCCCAGATACTAGGGTGACTGAGTTAAATGTACAGAATAGACTGAAAGATACCAGGGTGAGCGAGTTAAATGTAGAGAATAGACTGACAAATACCAGGGTGAGCGAGTTAAATGTATAGAATAGACTGACAGATACCAGGGTAATCTTGGAGATACCAGATACCCAGATACTAGTGTGACTGAGTTAAATGTACAGAATAGATTGACAGATACCAGGGTGAGCGAGTTCAATGTACAGAATAGACTGACAGATAAATGTACAGAACAGACTGACAGATACCAGGATGAGCGAGATAAGTGTACAGAATAGACTGACAAATACCAGGGTGAGCGAGTTAAATGTACATAATAGAGTGACAGATACCAGGATGAGCGAGTTAAGTGTACAGAATAGACTGACAAATACCAGGGTGAGCGAGTTAGATGTACAGACTGACAGATACCAGGGTGAGCGAGTTAAATGTACAGAATAGACTGACAGTTACCAGGATGAACGAGTTAAATGTACAGACTGACAGATACCAGGGTGAGCGAGTTAATGTACATAATAGACAGACAGATACCAGGATGAGCGAGTTAAGTGTACAGAATAGACTGACAAATACTAGGGTGAGCGAGTTAAATGTACAGACTGACAGATACCAGGGTGAACGAGTTAAATGTACAGAATAGACTGACAGATTCCAGGGTGAGCGAGTTAAATGTACAGAACAGACTGACAGATACCAGGATGAGCGAGTTAAGTGTACAGAATAGACTGACAAATACTAGGGTGAGCGAGTTAAATGTACAGAATAGAATGACAGATACCAGGGTGAGCGAGTTAATGTACATAATAGACTGACAGATACCAGGGTGAGCGATTTAAATGTACAGAACAGACTGACAGATACCAGGATGAGCGCGTTAAGTGTACAGAATAGACTGACAGATACCAGGGGGAGCGAGTTAAATGTACAGACTGACAGATAACAGGGTGAGCGAGTTAAATGTACAGAACAGACTGACAGATACCAGGATGAGCGCGTTAAGTGTACAGAATAGACTGACAGATACCAGGGATACCAGGGTGAGCGAGTTAAATGTACTGAATAGACTGACAGATACCAGGGTGAGAGAGTTAAATGTACAGAATAGACTGACATATACCAGGGTGAGCGAGTTAAATGTACTGAATAGACTGACAGATACCAGGGTGAGCGAGGTAAATGTACAGAATAGACTGACAGATACCAGGGTGAGCGTGTTAAATGTACAGAATAGACTGACAGATACCAGGGTAAGATAGTTAATTGTACTGACTGACAGATACCAGGGTGAGCGAGTTAAATGTACAGAATAGACTGACAGATACCAGGGTGAGCGAGTTAAATGTACAGAACAGACTGACAGATACCAGGATGAGCGAGTTAAGTGTACAGAATAGACTGACAGATACCAGGGTGAGCGTGTTAAATGTACAGAATAGACTGACAGATACCAGGGTGAGCGAGTTTAATGTACAGAATAGACTGACAGATACCAGGGTGAGCAAGTTAAATGTACAGAACAGACTGACAGTTACCAGGGTGAACGAGTTAAATGTACAGATCAGACTGACAGTTACCAGGGTGAGTGAGTTGAAGTATCTGAAGATAAAAGCCTCTATGAAATTATAATGTACACAAGAACTGTGCAGTTGTCGTGTAAAAACCAACACGTTTTGAGTATAACGCTTCTTAAACAAAAGTCTGGAGGGTAGAAATTGGCAACACTTCAGACATCACACATAACCTTTCATTCCTACGTAATCTGCACAACAGGTACATTTGTACTCGAATGAATTAGGGCTCTATTTCATATCGCTTTGTTTGCTGATTTATGAGACCAATCAGTATACAGTGCAACATTACACAACATTCTTTAAAGTATTTATTTTATCCAGAAAGTACACATAACACGCTGAAATACATGTGTAATCAATAATATATTATATGTTATCTTTCAGACATACGTCGGGGACATTCTAATTGCTGTCAACCCGTGTTCGCCGCTCTCAATATATGGCCCTCAGGTATGATGTGAAAACTAAACGTATACCTTGCGTAACGAAGCCAGGTGATATCATAAAAGTAAACAAATATGTTTTTAGTGGTTACTTAATCACATTGATATATGGGTCGTAATGTTCCCTGCCTATATATCAATAGAGGATCAGGGATATGGAAGACAGATGGTGCCTTTTACACACCATAGTCTGTCTTTAAAGTCAACAAGAATTAATATATTAATATCCTAAATAAAAAAAAAAATGACGGGCGATTTCATGACGGAGACCACATTATTTGTATGAAAGACGTGACCTCCCCGGATACCTGGTTTCGTTTCCGCTATATCATATCCCATACAATGCCAAGTATGTCAGTTCTTCTCTCCGTCACGCATATTTTGATAATTCTAGAAGCCGTATTTTTTGACAAATATGTTTACCTTGGACATACCTTGAACATGTATGGGTATACTCAGTTAAAGGTCAGGGTCACTATTACTAAAAATATTAGGTATAATTGCGGTGACTTATTAAGTTGATACTATATAAATGCATTGAAAATGAATAAATTACAATGGAAAGATAGTTTGTAATGTATTTTGATACTGTTGCAAATTACATAACAAGAATATGATTGTAACGATTGTAATGAGACAATTATGAAATAATGATTGAATTCGTATAGTAATGTTCGAGGGTAAAATCCGAATCGGTGTTATCGGGCTGATTAGTTACAATGTGAAGCTTATTTTCTTTAAAATAAAGCAATGGTAAAAAGGAATAATAAACAAAAGTAGATAAATAAAAAAAAACATAAAATAAATCATAAAAAAAAAAAAAAAAAAAAAATGTCATTTGAAAAAATCGAGTCAATTTGTCGGAATTCATGTGGGATGACATATATGTTATTGCAAATGTTTTTTCTGCATTGTGTATCAAAAAACAAATCATAAATCACAATTATACGCTTTAATTTTTATATTTTGTGTATTGTGCAGACCCGGCGCAAGTACCGCGACCTGCGTGTCAGAGGAAGCCAGCCTCCACACGTTTACTGGGTGGCAGACAACGCATACAGAAGCCTCATGGAGACACATCTGAAGCAATGTATTGTGGTTACCGGAGACTCCGGAGCTGGTAAAACCGAGACAACCAAGTACGCCCTGCAGCACCTCATAGAACGCGCTGACAAATGCGCTGTGCCTGACCTTGTGGACAAGCTTTCTCGGGTTGGTTCATTGACGATCTTTTCTGATATGAAGACTTTTTTGCACTTTATCTGAGTTTACTCTGTATCAGAAAACAAACATGTTATCGTTTTTAATTTGTAAATGGATGACTGCAGAAAAACAGTAATGATGAAATGATAAGTCTGTGAAAAATAAGTACATGTAATAGTGTATTTTGACCTAAATTATAGAGACACGGTAAGGGAGTTGATAACACAATTTAAATGCGTGGGAAATGAGTGTCTTGCTTAGATTTTCAACTTGTAAATGGAAAAGGATATATGGAGGTAAAACAAACAAAAACAAGAACAACCCAAAGAGAGGTTTAAAGTTGGAATTATGTTTGCATGCATTAATTTTCAGAAAGTACTATCATTTTAATGTAAGGTAACAATTGCCACCTCTTAACCTTAGGAAACAGAGTTTCAGAAAGCAATACACGGAGTCAATAGTTTCGTCTCAAGGTTTCAAACAAATGTCGTTTGTGAAAAACTTACATTATATTGTTAATCCGATACATTTTATGTTCACAGGTCAACCCCCTGATAGAGCTATTTGGCAACGCATCCACGGTCTTTAACCAGAATTCAAGCCGGTTTGGCAAGCTGATAGAGTTGGCGTACTTACCGGACGGCACTCTCGTTGGAGGTTAGTAACAAGAAAAAGAATAAAATCTATATGTCGGTTGATATTTTTGCATTGAATTAATCTATTCATATCTTGATGCTATTTGAAGATGGTTTATTCCCGTTCAGAGCATTTTATTCATAAAATATACTTTTTGTGGAAAATATAACTGTCGACATATACGTTTTTAACATCCTTATTTTATTAACAGGGAAGCTGCAGACGTTTGTTTTGGAAAAGTCGAGGGTTGTGTGTCATGGCCTTGGGGACAAAAACTTCCATATCCTCCATGCCATGTTTGCTGGTATGGAAGAAAGCAAACTCCAGTGCTACTTCATTGAAGGTGCAGACACATATAGGTAAACAAATAAATAACTTATTTTATGCATTACCACTTAACTATATGTCGTGTTAAAGCGATTGTTAAAATACGCCAATCATGGTATAGCATGGTATACTAATCAAGTTCATTTGAAGCGTTTGAGAAGTGGCGTATGGTATAAATTCGTAAACAGTTTTTCTCCTCTTCACAGTTGGCTAGTTACAAGTTACATAAGTACTTAAAGCGTTTTTGTTATTTTTGAAAATTTACTGGATCCAGTTAGATGTAAACGATATCCAACCGTCTTTCCTCGTGGATCCCTATTAATTAGCGCAATAACACGTCGTTTCGATCCCCAATTGATAATGAGTGTTGCATCTGTACTAATATAATGGTGACACCGTTTGTACAGTAACAAGTGCTGTCCTACTCGGTGTCACTTACGTGAGACTCCCCGGTGTTTACCGTCCTATTTAGGGCAGAGAGATTTGCTACCAATTAAACGTCTGTATTAACCTGCATTGGTTTCGAGTGTTGACACCGGACAGGAGCAGTTTGACCTTCAATTTGAGGTCACATATTCTCAGCGTTCACTTTCGTGTCGTTATAATGGAGGAGGCGGAAATCATTGTAGATCATGCATGTAACTGAATTTAAATGTCAATAACAAAACCTATAGAACTAGCACATGTTTGGGTGATCTCATTATCAAATATCAATCTCTACATATAGGTGATTGCACATATTTTAAGGCACAAAGGGATGGACTATTGAAATGCAATTAATTACATACATGATATTTAAAATGAATAATCAAACTCGAGGACTGTAACATGATGATGTATTTTTGTTGTGAATTTATAGAATCCTTCAAGAGGTGGGTGCACAACCGCACAATTGCTCCGGGACATTTAGAGATGCGGAAGAAGAAAAAGAATTTGCAGACAAATTTCAAACAGGAATGTCAATTCTGACCAAGATCGGTTTCTCTGATCAGGTGAACATCTAAAAAAAACTAAAATACCAATATAACGTAAGAAGACATTAGTGAACATAGATAAGTATATAACGTAGGTTTGAATTCCTCTATCGTTCACTTACACCGCTTGTATCAGATGTATTTTTACACTGAAACTATATTAGCAATATTGCGTCAGTTGTAACTAAGATATCCCTTATGTTATATAGGAAGTGTACCAGTTAATACAAATGCTAGCTGCAGTCCTTCACATCGGTAATATCGAGTTCCAGGTGGACGAGGAGACAGGAGGGGTGGCTATCGTTGACGAAGTCTACGTCTCAATTGGTAATAAGTTTAAAATGGAGATTTAAATGATTTACGTATCATTATGTATAGTTATATGTTGTTCTTCGTTTGATATACATTGTAGCGCCTAATACAGTAAGAAAAACCGACTCTAAGGCTCTTTACAATAGACAGAAAAAAACACGCCGCAATCAATACAATTTAACGATTTTGCAGGTGCTTCCTGCATCTTTTCAGATGTTTAATACTGGTCATATGTCACCTGGCTAAATACTTCTTCTGCATTCGTATGCATCGTTGTGGAGGCGAATAAATGTTCTGGTTTTTCGGATGCACATACACTGTAGACCACTCCTTTCCCTTATGCACAACCTTGGTTTGTTAAGTTGTGTTGTCAGAAGAAAAACTCTTTCTCTTAAAATCGATGATACGACGAAATCCCTTAGTGTCTTTGTGGGAGCCTGCATCTGAATGATTGAAAAACATATATACACTGTATCTGATCAGTCGTAATATTAATAGCACAAGGGTAGAAATATCTTCATATTGACTTTCAGCAATGTTGTTCAGAGCGGATCATCTCGTTTACTTTTTTCAGTTATGGAGATACTTAACCTGGGAGAAGCGAATTCTGCGTCTCTCATCAGCGCCCTGATAAGTAGACCTCGTGTCGTCATGGGTATGTGTAACAATTGAATAATGTTGAAATTGTAAACTGTTGTTAAATTGTTAACATTTAATAGGAAGATCATAGATATGAATGTAAGAAAGTAACCCTATGCAACGTTTATTTGATTCATGATCTATACAAAAAATATCAATAACTTTTTGTGTGACTCCATATATTGATAATTAACTAAAACAATATATCAAATCACATCTTGATGTTCAACCTAAACAATTGCTAAACAATGTTTCACACTGCAAAATGTTAGTAAATATGAACGATGTATAAATATGTTGAAACTACATTTTGATAGCTGTCATAAACATTTTTTAATATGTTGATCATTAATTAAAACATATGTTTACCTATATTGTAATATTTAAATTTAGATGTTTAAGATAAACAATGCTTTAAGTTGCTTATTCATAATTTAACTTAAACAAGTGTATGCAGAATAACAGGTGAACTAAACAATGTTTTAAAACCTACTATGTGTACGTGTGTACCTGACTACCTCACTGTACAAAAACAGGTGAAACGATTGTTTCCTTCAAGACGATACAACAGGCCGAGGATGGACGTGACGCTCTTGCCAAAGAATTGTATAACAGTTTATTTAATGGGATTATTGACCGTATAAACCGGGAACTCCGGCCTGAGCAAAGTAGCGCCGGGTACGTACAAAATGTACATGTACAAATTTGAATATATTTGTAACTTACCTTAAAAAACAATAAAGCCAATACGTATATGCAACTGCATGCTACTTTTTTGAAAAGAATGATTGATTTTATTAACGTTGTTGTTATGAAAATATATATTTGCAAATTAAATTGAATTGATAAAATTGTTAACGATATATTTGTCATTATCGTAAATAATGCATTCAATTGTTCCAAAACAAAGTATAATCTGATGTGTTTTTTTTGGGGTTTTTTTTGCATATTTTTTTTTTTTCAAATATATTGAATACTGTTTAATAGGGATGGTCACTCACTGACTATCGGAATTCTCGACATCAGCGGATTTGAGAACCTCAGACTGAACTCTTTCGAGCAGCTTCTTATTAACATGACCAACGAAAGGCTACATCAGTACTTCCAGCAGCAGATCTTTGACGCTGAGCGTGCAGATTACAAGAGAGAAAACGTGTCATCAACTGACGTCACATTTAAAGACAATGGTGATGTGTTGAAGCTTCTTTTCGAGGTAATTATACCATACAGGTTTTAATTTTGTTTAACGTCCTACATGTTTTAACAGCTAAAGTGTATGCGTGCTTGCTTGTGTGTATACAAGTGGATATTTTGATAACGAAGACTCACCAAAATGACTATGCTATGTTGTATTGATGGCAATACTTCGATGCATACGAATACATTTTTATCCTGATAAAGTCAATATAGTTTAATAGGGAGCGCGATACCCCAAAAAATGTAAGATGCCAGGAAAAATTAATGTCTTATTTATGATGTTAATAGTGTTTTTCACTATTCAAAAATGTTTAACTTCACTGGTACTGAAGGAATTAAATGACCAACTTTAATGTATCCATTATATTTCAGTCTCCGGGGGTACTGTCTATTCTGGAGGAAGAAGTCGCTGTCCCTATGGCCAATGATAAATCTCTCGTTTCCAAAATGGACAAGTTCCTCAACAGTTCACCCAGTTACCACAAGAAGAACCAAATGTTAATGTTTGGGATCGCTCACTATGCCGGGGAGGTAGGTTTGATTTCTTGTATTTGATGATTATCGCAAAATACGACATATTGTTCTAGATATGTTAAACCTTCCAGGGTTCGGTGTCCGGTGTTTGATTAGGGGATTAGGTCCTTTTCGTAATCTGTCCCTAAAGACCTAATTTCTTGTTGTGTTTATAATAGTTCACAGTGTGTTCTATCATGGGTACAATTAATACAGGCACGTTTCCGGTAAACATGTACCTTCAATTATGTTTAAATTAAACAAGACTGGTATCATCAAAGTGAGACGAGTTACCTAGAGACTGTTGAGACTGTAGCTCAACCTGATCAGGATACTGACGTCGACCAGGTCGCCCAGTTGGTTAAAACCACAGTTTAATAATCTAACGCCAAGAGTTCGAATTCTGCTTTGGGCCTATATTCTTGTTACTCAGAGAAGATCTTGTTTATTTTCTGTTTATGTCATCTGTTTTAATAAAGACACGATAGGTATGGTTTTTGTTTCAAAGAAGTTTCAAATGCATTGTTACATCCTTAACGAATCACTAGGTACCTGTATTAAAATTGAAGGAACAGTTTAACAGTGTAGCTGGGCATTATTAGTCACAAGTTCGTTATTACACCCTATGACCTATGAACTAAATCTTATTTATCATTTAGGGTGTAACACACGATTTATTGATTCTCTCTGATTGATATATACACGTACTTGATATATATTAAAATTGCAATATATCTGTCCACCCATTTGCCTTGGACAAACAACAATATATTTCTACTGCATAGGAATTAACCTGAAAAATCAATATCAAATCTCGTGAAAAATATTGTATCGCTGATATCATTGTGTTGATGCTTGCCAATGGCACGTTTATGGTGATGTACTACGATACATCCCCTCACAAGGACTTCTCTGGATTGAAGGTGACACATTTAAAGTCGTTTTACCCATTCGTGTGTGGGTGGGTGGGAGGTTTGCACATTACGCAATAGAAACCTTGTGTGCAATGTTCGAATTGGACACGCTAGTATTTTTGAGGTGTACATTCATGATAAAGGCTGAACTCAAATTGGTAACTATGCTAATCAGAGTAACCTGCACTTTATTTTAACTTCTCCATTGACATCAAAAATATCGATTTTATGCTCCAAAATGCAATAAAATGATTTAAAAATGTAATTTCCTATAATCATGGTTGCCTTACCACCAATTAACGCCATACAAGATCCAAATAGAGAAAATAAAAGACTTATGTTGACCTGAACGGCATCTTTAAAACATGTTCCTTGGATGTACTCTGGACATCGTTAATTACTCGGATAAAAGGATGTCTATACAAGGCACGTTGTATAGGTAAGGCTATAATTATACCGTTGTAGCCGAAAAATACTAGTCTATACTACATGTATCATCTAGAAATATACACGTCTCTGGCTCCATGTTTTCGGACTAGACAAAGCCTCGAACATATATACATGATCCATGAGCTGTAAATATTGTACATTTTATCATACATTGTATCTTGACCATATGTAAGATGAGCTTCATGCTCAATATGTTATCAAGAATAAACAAAGCCTTCATTATTATTATTATATCCAGGCTACCATAGTAACACTCAATCTTAGGTATTCCGTTATTATACAAATACAGATTCTAGACTAATGTATCCTTAAATCAAGCAATCATAGGTATTGCTTTATCATAAATATACAAAATCTGGTTTATCAGAGTCCGAAAACGTAAATCATTAGGGCTTCTTGAATCCAGTTATATACTCCGTGCTACCATAGTCTACAAATCTACGGGTTTATATGGTTAACTCATATGTTTAAACGATTTACATATTTTTAAATTCCAACAACATTCATCACGCACTCATACATGAATATGATTATCTATGCATCCTGATAGATTTTTTTTTTAACTTGGATTGTTTAATTATACAATTATACATATCTAAGGTTTGGAGTAGTACTGGTTTCCCCTATATTATACACTTAGATATCCATAAGGTATTCTAGGTTAACACTGTTACTTCATTGGCAGGTGGAGTATACTGCTGACGGCTTTCTGAAGAAGAACAAAGGAACATTGTCCAAAAATCTCCGTGGCTGCTTCCTCTCAAGTGAAAATATGTTTGTCAAGAACTATTTCACAGAAAACTTCCTGTTCCGAAACGAGTAAGTAATTCGTTTTTGTATTACCTATAATATCCGGGGAGTTGGTCACTTCGATGAGAAAGATATTTTGAATTATTGTCATTTACTGTATTTTAGTTACTTTATATCTAATTGTAAGGAGAAATCATTTTTGCTAAGAAAACTATCGGCATTTAGACATACTGGTAACCATACTATCGGGATTTGACATACTGGTAACCATACTGTCAGGATTTGACATACTGGTAACCGGACTGTCACGATTTGACATACTGGTAATCGTACTATAGAAATTTGACATACTGGTAATCATACTATCGGGATTTGACATACTGGTAGCCGTACTATCGGGATTTGACATACTGGTAACCATACTATCGGGATTTGACATACTGGTAACGATACTATCGGGATTTGACATACTGGTAACCGTACTATCGGGATTTGACATACTGGTAACCGTACTATAGGAATTTGACATACTGGAAACCATACTATCAGGATTTAGACATAGACATACAGGTAACCATACTATCGGGATATGACATTATTTATTTTTTATTTTATTCAAAGCATGTATTGACACAAAAGCATTTTCTAAACACATTTAGTGCCTTTTCATCTATTTGCTGGCGATAATACACACATTGAACTATTTCTAATTATACCTACCCTCTCCAACCATACCAGATCATTTCAAATGATTAGCTAGTTTAGAACCCAGCAAAATGCTAAGTGCCTTAATTAAAAGAAAGCTCACCTATAAAGATGTGACTATTTGATGGTCAAGTGCCAATCTCCCCCATAAACCACTACTCAAACATAGCCCTAATGTGTAGATGGAACTCGAACCTTTTCAGACTTCATTAGTTCAAGCAAATTTTGTATGTTTAATTAATCTTTGATCAACACCGATACATTTTCAGACTGTTTTAAAAGTACATTTTGTTTATTGTTAATTTCAATTAAAACTTTTTGAGTTAACTCAAGTGGAAACACTAATTAAGAGAAGGAATCTATCAGAAAAATCGTGACACTATACAACATTATCAAACTCATTTCATGTGACAAGTTTTTTTCCAAACGAAGTAATGGACAAGCACTACATTGTGCATGTCATACTTCTTCAGATGCCTTATGCACCCTAGTCTGTAATACATGATCAGGACCCTGGTGTACCCTACTGGGTAAAACATGTATGAGACCCTGGTGTACACCCGTCTTTTTTTCTATTTTATGGTTTATTATCCCGAATACAATAGGGAATACCAGGATGGGGCCTGGCCTGATCCCTGTACATAGTACATGTAGCATATTCATTCTCTGAATCTCTCTATTTTGTACGCTCATCTTCCTCACTCTGTCTATTTTTTTCTTATTCATTTTCTTTCTTTCTACTCAATTTCTCTTACATTGATTTCAATTTCAATTTGCAAAAAATCGTTTGTAACGTATTCCCCAATAGTTGATATCTTTTAACGCTTTCATGACATATCATATACCAAACTATCGGGATTTGACATACTGGTAACCATACTATCGGGAATTAGACATACTGGTACATGTAACCAAACTATCGGGATTTGACATACAGGTAACTGTACTATCGTGGTTTGACATATTTGTTACTATATGTATACTATCGGGATTTGACATATTTGTTACCATACTATCCGGATCTGACATACTGGTAACCGTACTATCATGCTCTGACATACTGGTAACCATTCTTTCCGGATCTGACACACTGGTAACCGTACTATTCGGATCTGACATACTGGTAACCGTACTATCCGGATCTGACATACTGGTAACCGTAATATCCGGATCTGACATATCGGTAACTGTACTATCCGGATCTGACACACTGGTAACCGTACTATCCGGATCTGACATACCGGTAACCGTAATATCCGGATCTGTCATACTGGTAACCGTTCTATCCGGATCTGACATACTGGTAACCGTACTATCAGGATCTGACATACTGGTAACCGTACTTTCCGGATCTGACATACTGGTAGCCAAACTATCGGGATTGAGACATACAGGTAACCATACTATCGGGATTTGACATAATTAGTACCATACTATCGGGATCTGACATACTGGTAACCGTACTATCCGGATCTGACATACTGGTAGCCAAACTATCGGGATTGAGACATACAGGTAACCATACTATCGGGATTTGACATAACTGTTAGCATACTATCGGGATCTGACATACTGGTAACCATACTATCCGGATCTGACATACTGGATACCCTTCTATCCGGATCTAACATACTGGTAACCATACTATCCGGATCTGACATACTGGTAACCGTACTTTCCGGATCTGACATACTGGTAGCCAAACTATCGGGTTTGAGACATACAGGTAACCATACTATCGGGATTTGACATAATTGTTACCATACTATCGGGATCTGACATACTGGTAACCGTACTATCCGGATCTCACATACCGGTAACCGTAATATCCGGATCTGACATACTGGTAACCGGACTATCCGGATCTGACACACCGGTAACCGGACTATCCGGATTTGACAAAGGTAACCATACTAGCGGGATTTGAAATAACTGTTACCATACTATCGGGATCCGACATACTGGTAACCGTACTATCCGGATCTCACATACCGGTAACCGTAATATCCGGATCTGACATACTGGTACCCGGACTATCCGGATCTGACACACCGGTAACCGGACTATCCGGATTTGACAAAGGTAACCATACTAGCGGGATTTGACATAACTGTTACCATACTATCGGGATCTGAGATACTGGTAACCGTACTATCCGGATCTGACATACCGGTAACCGTAATATCCGGATCTGACATCCTGGTAACCATACTATCCGGATCTGACATACTGGATACCATACTATCCGGATCTGACATACTGGTAACCGTAATATCCGGATCTGACATACTGGTACCCGGACTATCCGGATCTGACACACCGGTAACCGGACTATCCGGATTTGACACAGGTAACCATACTATCGGGATTTGACATACCGGTAACTGTACTATCCGGATCTGACATACTGGTAACCGTAATATCCGGATCTGACATACTGGTACCCGGACTATCCGGATCTGACACACCGGTAACCGGACTATCCGGATTTGACACAGGTAACCATACTATCGGGATTTGACATACCGGTAACTGTACTATCCGGATCTGACATACCGGTAACCGTAATATCCGGATCTGACATCCTGGTAACCATACTATCCGGATCTGACATACTGGTAACCATACTATCTGGGTTTGACATACTGGAACTGCTCTATCGCGATTTTAAAAACTTGTAGAAATTACATATTGATATATTGGCAACCGTTATATTAAGAAATTCGTCACACTGCTAACTGTTATATTAAATTTGATGTCTAAGTAATAAGTCATTTAATTGCCTTGAATATTTATGAATAGAAGATGAGAATCGTTAATTTTCCTCTGTGGCTGTTTGCATAATATGTAGCATCCTTCCCATTATAGTTAATGAAACATTAATATTGGAATGCGTTTTGTTTAATCACTAATTCAACGGTTTCTCATTTAAGGTCTGGACGGGGAAGTTTAAGAGGAAGCTTCCGGTCTAGATTAGAGGGAAAGAAGAAAAGAGGAAGGTATAAACATTTATATAACATATCGGATATCAAATACAAACAATCACTTACTTTATTGCACGGGGACGAGTATTCATGTAACTGCGAAAAAAGTAATTCCCGTGTGCATTTTTTTAATTTATTTTTTATTAAGTTATCGCTCACAGAATTATAGTCTCTCAATACTTTATGGTTCGTGAGTTTGTGTTCTCTGTTCATTGTTTTGTGGGGTGTTTTTGTCACAAACTTCCAAATGCATTCGGTAAGAAAATGAACCATATAACGTAGTATGTAGATTACATGAATTGTGCTTTGTGGGGTTGTACATGTATATATCAAATATTACTGTGACACTCCGTACTGTTTACTTCCTACCTGTTTAGAGCTATGTTTTTTTACCCGACATCTATACTTTGTAATCACATGTCTATCGATTACCTGTAGGGATAACCGGCCGCGATCTTGTGTTGATTATATTAACTAAATAATAGATATAAAACTTGCAGTTACTTTGCATGAGTACCTAAGTAAATATTTTATTTTGGTTTAAAAAAGCAGAAAGTTCGTTAGAATATGAGTTCTGAAACAAACTTTCAGATTGACGTCTTCCTACATAAAGCTCGTTTAAGACCAATAGATTATGCGCATCTTATTTATGTGATTTATTTTTATTCAATATCGTTATGATTTGGTTGTAGGCTGAGCACTATCGGCGAAGAAAAATTAGAGACAAACACCAGTGGCAACAAAATGTATGATAGCGTAGCCACTCAGTACAAGGTAGGACAACATGTAGAGTACACTGTTCTAGACATTTTAACGCCGTTTAAATCGTTGATGACCTAGTCTTTAAATGACAAAAGACATCCTGAAGGGCGCCGCATGTGCTTCTAAGTTGTATTTAAATCAACAAAAAGCTGTAGATATTTCATTTTTTTCAATCAATAGTTCAATAATTGTTATTGAAATACAATTCAAAAAACGAATCTTCCAATATGTAATTCTCATAAATACAATCATTTATTTAGAAGTCTCATTTATACTTTTATTGGATATGTAACAATTAAAGGGAGACAACTCAAGTAATAATGTGAGAGTATCTTCCTTAATTAATTGCTTTAACACTTCACAAAATAGATACAACGAGTTTCATTAAGTATAGTTTTACTTGATGCGTTTTCCCGTTTTTTGTTAAGTGCAGAGAGCATATGAGCTAAAAGTGACGAAAATACTCATGGGATTTCTAAAGCCTGATCATTTCTCTTGGTATCACTGATTTTATATGTATAAGATTCAGAATAACTCTGCAGTACATTCTTTGGTAAAGGTAAATTGTTCTATTTTTTCTTTTTTTCTTTTTTTTAGAAATCACTGAAATGCTTGATAGACAGAATATCCACTGCCAAGCCAAACTTCATAAAGTAAGAGAGATTTTTAATGTTATACTTTAAAACGTTGCATGATATACCATATGCAACATTTAAATATATTATGCATATTATTTTATGCTAGTTTTATTGATATTATTGTTTATTAATTAATTTTGATAACAATGTTAATACACAGAACAAGTTAATAGAATTATGTGTTTATATGAAAGTTATATTGAAAATCTAACCAAATAATATTAATATTTAATGATATGTTAAAAAGATGTTAATGATGTTTTGCAGATGTATAAAACCCAACTTGGCGCTCACCTCCGGCGAATTTGATCGTCGATTGGTCAATGATCAGCTCACTAGCAGCGGTTTGTTGGAAGTTGCTAAGATTCGGAGAGACGGATATCCGGTCAGAATGAAGATCGATATCTTCCGGAAAAGGTTAGAACTGTTCGCAGTTTAAAATATTTAGTACATTACTTTGAATGAAATCATGTCATGCTTTTAAACATCAAAACAGTAACAGTTGTATTGAAAAGGAAGAAGGTTTGTTTTTTATGAGTAGTACATTTTGTATCGAAAGAAATTATTTCCTTCATTACTTCGTCTGTTTTCCCTCCATACTATTTTTTTTCCCCTGATATTGTAGATATCACGTGATTCCCGAAGACATACATCTGGAGGAGGAGGACGGCAAGAAGGCTGCTGAGGTCATCGTGCATCATTGTGGGGTCAAAGATTACAAAATAGGAAAGTCCAAGGTTAGTATAAAATCTAGTACAGTACAATGTATGTATGTTTCAAAATATGAAATAAGGTGTATTTGATTTTGACAATGTATAATGAATACGTGAGATTGATCGATTTTGTATTACTCTTTCCTTTTTCTATACCACTTTTAAAGAAATTTGAGACATACATTTGTAGGTAGTATCAAAATGGTTGTATCAGTGTTGATGCTCTTTAACAAGTTGTGTTAGTTTTTTTGTTTACTAAATCGTTTATTGAGTAATGAAAGTCGATTAATATTAAGAAATCACAAAACCATTTTATTTTTCATTTGTAGACACGTTACATTGATAATGTTTTCCAGTAAAATGTTCACCGCAGTTTATTTCTCGCCGTTTGCGCCCTCCGTAATAACAACAAACTCATCACGACGACAAATGCTATTTTACAATCTACAGAACACAATATCTAAAGTATCATTTATGTGTTATACCGGTGTATGGTGATGATTTTTGGGTTATAGTTTCCCGGTCTAAGGTATACATCTAAACAAGCCGGAGATGCAGCTTAAGGACTCGCACAACTAAATCATTTTAATATTTGAAGTTCAAATCCAGTGACAACTGTCTAGATTCATAAATATATACCTTGCAAAGGCTACAAAATGACTTTTTGGTAGGTTAAGTCGCATATTGGAGTGTCACAGCGGCAAGAAGTTGACAACCGAAAGTTTACAAGCAAAACCGGTGACCCAAAACAGAAATGCTCCCAGACATTTTGCCCCTGTGCAAATCCGCACACAGACATGGAAATATATCATAAGTATATATTTTGCAAAAGTTAAATACCTGAACATTTGATTTATCTAAAAATCTGTCATCAGTTCCTTATTAAACTCCTTCAGTGGCCCAGTAATTAGCCGGATCTTATTTCAGATAAGCGACATGATGATAACTACAAACGTATGAAACACTTGCTGATTGGCTGGTTTAGTTGTGTGAGTCCTTAATAAATAGAAGGTATTGATATGAGATGGGCAATTTGATGTTATAAATAATTAAAAAAGCAGGTAAAGATTAATGACAAGTGCTATGTGATTTTACTTTCAGATATTCTTGAAACAAAATGGAATTGATGAAATAGAGAAGACACTAGCTGCAATGGTATGTATCACATTGATACGATACATAGATACGTACAGTGTAGCAAAGTCTACTTTACATAGCATAAATCTCACTTTGGCTCGGTACACTATAGTTGAGGATATCTTACACTTTTATTTCTGTAATGCACCAGTCTATTGATTGTATCGCATGTTCTATTTACATTGAAATATTTTCATAAATAGCTCGAAGCAAAGAAAGAGCGACAAAAAGAAGAAGAAAGACGGAAAAGGCAGGGGTCTTACAAGCGACATGATGATAACTTAGACACAATAAGTGAAGCTGGCTCTGTGAGTTCCGGATGTTCAACGCACTCTAACGGCAAGGGGTCGATTGAAAAACCACCGTCATATTCTGCTCTCTCGGACATAGAAGCAGATCAAAAGAATCCTGTTGATGCAAGTGGTTTGCCACCGAAGAAATCATCCATCAACCCCTCCGAATTACAGGAAGACCTTCCGTAAGTATTTGAAGCGTTTAACGTTTTTTTTTATATCGCTTCATATAGCGTATGCTTCACTTGAGTAAATATTTGAACACACTCTTTGTAGTCCGAATTATTCTGACGTTTTATCGGCTTTTTTATATCGGATTCTCGTCGATTAACGTCTAAAAAATATGTTTTTAGTGATTGTATTGGTTGTTTGAGGCATGTTATGTATGTTCATCTTGTGCATAAAGAATAGATCTTTCGATCCATGTGCGAAATGTGTGTATAGGTGACGATTTGTTTCTAAAATTTTCCCGCATATTATAGAAGGCCGTAGTTCTGACGTTTATCGACGACAGACCGATATAAAAAAAAGTCGATAAAACGTCAGAATAATTCGGACTTACTCTTTGGTGCGGTACGACTTTGAATGATTTAGGTGCTTGAAATGCTGGCGTTGGTTCTCTTCATATGTTAAATCATTGGTGTTGATCACTTTCAGAGCTTATGACGTTTTCCGGATTACAGAACGAGACGTAGACGAATCAAACGTGTTTGAGGAACGTGCGCTGAAGATTATGAGACTTTCTACATATGTTCTCTTGTTTCTGGGGATTCTGGGTACCGGAACAGGAAGTCTGTTGGGAGTTTTGATGCTTACATCAGGTATCAGATTGGTAAGTTTCTTATTGTTTTACCTTTATTGATGAAATTTCAAAACCATGGCAATGACATTGCTGTTTAGAAATAATATTGGATGCCTACATATTTCAGCAGTTTTTAATTCTTACCAACCTTAGTGTAAAACATAACCTTTTTGCCATGCAATTTAGATATGTACGCATAGGAGTTAATTGTGTGCCCAAGTCCGCTGTTGCAATGCATACATACCGATGACGTCACGCTGTTGACAGCGTCCGAGGCTTGTCTGCACCAGACATGCCAACAGTATTTTGCATTTTTCTACAAGTCTGTTCATTCTATATTGATGAATTTGTTGAGAGGATATTGTTGATTAAAAATAAAACCAAATGAAAATGCAGGTTCCGAATTAACGTTCCCAAAACGGCGAAATTGTCCAACTTCAATTCACATCGATATATCAACAATCAAGGCCACGATCGGCTGTCAAGGTAACAATGGTTACATTGAAGTCGGTATATTTCTTGAGCCTTCCAACTTAAATGTATCAAATAACCAAATATTGGGGGGATGCGTATGTTATATCATTTAACTCAATGTATCCTCTCAAATATTGACACTAGTTATAGTATCTGAAAATTGTATTTTGCATCTTTTTTTTTTAAATTTAAACTTACATCATTATTTACTTACCGTATGTTTTATATTAACAGGACAGTACCCACAAGTCCGAACTGACCACAGAGATTCTAGTCTGCTTTAGTATACCACAAGGGATCACCTGTCTCGTCTCATTCCTCAAGATTCTCTTCGGTCGGAAGGAATGGCCAAAATTATCATATTTATTCTTTGTAAGTAAATGAATGTAGAGTCTATTCCTTTTTTCAATCATTTTGACTATGTGATTTATTTTCTTATCAATAAAATGATGTCGATGATTGAATTGTCTTCTCTCCCGGTTTCTCTAACAATTGTAAATACAGTAAATGCATGTATAAAACATCACATATACGGTGTATTACTTTAAACCGGTTCGCGATTGATCACAATTTGTTTCGCTGTTAACTGAAAAAGAAAAAATACAAGAAAATCAGAATTATGGTTGATAGTGTTAAAATTCAAACAAAACATTTATTATTTTAGGCATTGCTGTTGAATGGAGCACAAGCTTGTGGCATGGGGTTCCTCGTGTATCGAGTTCTCCCAGAGTATGACACCATATCGGGAATAACACTAATGCTTGCCTGTGTTCAGCTACCGACGTTACTGAATATACATCGACAAATTTTCAGGCATCGAAAATTAAAGTTGAAGTTCCTCAAAAGACTACTTGTAGCTACTTTCTCTATCATAGCAAGCCTCATACAATTCGGGTTTAACCCAATAGTTTATGTAACAGAAATATTTGTGCCAGCAGATTCCACGTCTAAAAATATAGTGTTTCTGACAGTGTCTATTTTTCTTGTATCTTTCGGCTGGTGCGAATCATTTGCTGGAGAAGATATTGACATCATTTGTATGAATGTTCCGTTAAAAAAATGGAGACAGCAAATATCTCGATGTCGAGATAAAACAAATTTTCTAGCATGTCCACTTAAAGTTGGAATATTTTTTCTGTGTGCCCATCAGCTAGTGCCCGATGTGACGTTTGCTTTTCCCTTACCAGTGACGTACACTGATACACATATTCCAGTACCAAACAGTACTGAAACGACGGTTGCTCAGACGGCTGTGACCCAGTCGTTCTTCGACAGGTATACCCTGCTCCTGATACAAGTGTCATCCGGTTACGTGTGCAGTTATCTTTGTGGAATAGCGTGTAAGATCCACATGCAACGATTCTCGTTCTGCCTTTCTCTACTGCTTGTCCCGATGCTTTCCATTGGTTTAACCATATGGCTGTGTATTGGAGGTCAGGAGTCACTACCGATTTTGGAAGGAACTGTTGCGTGTCCGGCTAATCTCTCATTTGATGGTTTGAAAGGAATACTCGGTGTTGCTCTTGCATTGCTGGTGTCCCTTGTGATGTTAACTTTGCATGTTTGGTTTCCGTCAACAGAACGCATGGCGAAGCTGGAAAGGTATGTCATAGAAAACTCTCGTTCATATTCAATCGTTTAAAATATTGACGAGATTTTCAAAGTTGAGATAACATTTCTCTCGAAAGATTAATGATTAACATTATGAACGATATATCCCATGTCTCTTAGATATGTTATACGAGCAGTTATCAAAGGTTGCATTTCTTACCTTAAGGATGTTGGCTTATTCCGTCTTTGCGTATTGCAGAGTTATCTTCTCTTGGGAGCAAGTATTGATTGTTACGTCATTGATCTCTGTGAGAAAATTACGTCGTTTTCTCAAAAATTGATGACGTTACTCTCACAAACAAGTGACGTAACAATCAATACCTGCTCCCAAGAGAAGATAACTCTGCAATACGCAAAGACGGAATAGGGATAGAGGCTCTTTTTTATCTTATTGGTTCTTGACCGTGAAGACGACTTATAGTAACGACATTAATAGTTTGGCTCTTACCCTTCAGGAACACATGGTCAAATTCTCCTTGTACCTTTTCAAGTATTTACATGTAAATTTCTTTCTTTGTTCAAATTTTGCCCTAGTTTTATCGATTTAGAGTTCGTATTATATTTTCTGCACTTCGGTGTTCTCTTGTTGATACTAAATAATCTGGATATAGGCTTGCTGTGCTCTCGTACTTCTTACAGAAACAAAGGGAAGTATGAATTGTCAACATTGCTACTGTTTAGGAATATATATATCTGTGAAATTCTTTCTCGAGAATCCCTTACCGTAACATCACAATTTGCATAGTGCAAATGAAGGAGGGAGACGTTTCTAAACTGAACTGAAATAATCTCATCTATCACATGAAACAGTACAATGCTTTTTTGAATTTCAAACATATATAATATCTTTATTTTATTTAGGAGTTACAAATACTAATCATTGATAGTTAAATACTACTTTGAATCATTTAATTCCGGAAAAAATATTTTTGTAAATATTCTTTTCGTTTTCGTTTTTCATATCCGTACAAATTGATCGGTAGACGTGGTTAATTACAATGATTGACATACAAAATGTATTTATAAAGGTGGGTAATTCTCACAATTAGCTAGAAATCTGCGGCGTGACATCAGAACCAGAGTTGAAAGAAAATAACAAAACTGAGTGGAATTCTGTGATGAAAGAATTGATAGTTTTTTCTGTCATAAAAAGGAATAGGTCCACCGAACCTCATTAAAGAAAAACAACCAAATGTGTTGACGAAATAACATCGGAATTGGAGAGGACTTGGTCTCCAATATTATTTCAAGTTGGGCGTTTTAAGCACCGCGCATTTTGTTTTAACAGTAGTTAGACCAGTTTTGATTTCAACCTCTGTTGCCCCCAGCATTACCGATAGGTCCTACAAGGACCAAATAGCTGTATGGGGAATTGTTACTCATTTTTGGCATTCAGTATCTATTCAAAAAATGAATAGCTGCGATCACGCTTGTGTAAAGTACATTCATCATTGGTTTGATGCGATTATGCCTTAGATGTATTTGTACGAACAAATATAATAATATAGTAACTAATTTTATTGTTTACTTGACCGCAGGTTGTTCTGCCTTCCGATGTGGGATGGCATTTTCACCGCTTTTAACGTCCTGTTGCGAAGAAAAAATGATCTGATGGAGAAAGAGACCGAACGCAAAAGGGTTGGCTCTCGCACGAAAGAGGAGAAGAAGGCACGCCCTATGGTCAATATTTGTGCGACAATGTGGCACGAGACCAGACAGGAAATGCTTCAGCTCCTTAAATCACTTTTCCGGTAAGAATGTTGACAGTCTATAAGTGCAAGACATTTCCATTGGTCCATATACGTTTATTCACCAATTATCCTAATATTCCTAAATAAGAAAGACATTTTTTAGCGTTTAACCTAATTTAAAGGTCATTACGTTTTTACCCTGTACCTTACTGCTTGGTGAGACTAAATTTCCGGGAATCACAACAAATGCATAATTACAATAAAATGTATCTATAATACAATGTTACAAATTTGATCATGACAAAGTAATATGTTTTCATTGAGTTGTTCCTCTTCATATACGTATTATATTCATATCGATTCAATTTTAAAATCTTGCTTTACAGGCACATTAATGTTGTTTGGAACAACACACTGTATGTTGGTAACAGTTATCATTTACAACCATCCTTATATCGTTACAGGTTAGATAGATACTACTCACAACACGTTTATAGTATTAGTCAGAGCGGACACCTACCATCATTTTAACGTAACAGGTTAGATAGATACTACTCACAACACGTTTATATTGTTAGTCAGAGCGGACACCAACCATCATTGTAACGTTACAGGTTAAATAGATACTACTCACAAAACATTAATGTGGTTAGTCAGAGAGGACACCAACCATCATTGTATCGTTACAGGTTAGATAGATACTACTCATAAAACATTAATGTTGTTCGTCAGAGCGGACACCAATGTGTTGACTAAAAACATTAACACAATTCTTGTATCGTTACAGGTTAGATAGATACTACTCACAAAACATTAATGCAGAAAAGGGCTTTGGTGTAGAACGGGACTACTTTGACATGAAGAGTAAGTACTGAATCAGAAATAATCATCTGCATTATGTTGTCATAAAGCAAAATTCCTTTTTTTTCTTCAGCATCATAATATATAACAGGAGCGTACTGCATAACAATAAAAGTATTTTCATTCTTTTCGTCTTTAAACGAGAGGCGAGTTCAATTAGGCATTGGTTATGATTAAAACGAAAATTCGTTTCAATTGGTCCAGACGGTGAACATTTGTCATCGCTTGTTGATATATAAATTGTTATTGATATGATGATTGTAAAACGCAAATTAATCAAACCTATTCAGGTAAATTAATTTGTTTTTAAAATAGAAAGATAGGAAATAAGAAAAGTTTGAATACGTTGATAATTTTTACAAAAAACAACAACAATATTTATACAATATCACGAAAACAAATGCATTTGATAAAGTGAAATAATTTACTTTGTAATTGCTGTAAAAAAAACAAGGGATTGAACATTTATTCTGCCTGTACTATCGCTGGGAAATTGTTTCGTAGCTCATCGTTAAAGAGTTCATGTCATTATTCATTTCAGTTCATATTATATTCGATGATGCATTCTTCATTGATCCCAAAACAAAACAACGAATGACAAATGAATACGTCCAGCAGCTTGTGGAATGCATAGACCAAGCTTCGATGTAAGAAAGATACTTTCTGGGGTGTATTTTTTTGTATATTAATCTAACACCTACGCTATTTTCAAGTGATGTTAATTGACGTTATAAGTAAATTCTGCGATACATCACTCACGCCTTCTCATTGATGGTTTTGTTATCATTGCTTGTCTAAATATGTTATGGTTGGTGACATAGCATCTATTTGTGGAAGCCAATGTCTGAAAAGGGATAATAAAAACGTAAAGAATTTCTTAATACATAGCAGTAACAGTTATTTTTCACTCGTTGATTGAATGCTTTTCGTATTTTTTACTTGTACTACTCACACACTCATAACGATAATAGCAATGTCCTCTGTGTTCAGTAATGAAAATAGAGATACGACTGCAATCTTTAAAAACAGTGTAACTTACCTACGTTAAAATCTTAACACTTCTAAGACATGTATAGATCATGCCTTAAATTATGTTCCTGTATACATTCTAACCGAGCCTTTACTATCATAAGCAACAAGCCTTTATAAACGTTATAAACTTTGATGTATGTAGGTCAGTTGCCAAAGGCCGGATTTTTTGGAACAACCATCCAAAAAAGTTCACAACTCCTTACGGTGCGAGGCTTGAGTGGACACTTCCAGGAGGTATTCCTATGTTCTTCCATTTAAAGGACAAAACTAAGGTTCGACACCGAAAAAGATGGTCACAGGTATGCATTGAAAAGAATTATTAAAATTCCATTTACCTAAATTATGAGCAAGGAAGAATGAGACGTTTTTCTAATGTTTAATCTATTCGAGATACCGAAATCCGGTCAGCGAAGTGGCAATATTTTCAAATTTTAATAACAACAACATTAAAAGTATGTTGATATTACAAACACTTATTACATAAGGATTTAATTTAACGTCATATGTTATAAATCATACGATTTGCTTTTTATTTTATCATTTTAACAAGACCTTATGATATACATTTATGGATGATTTGTCTCGGTAATGTGACTTTTGAAGTGTATATAAAATTACCAATGCATTAAATAGATCAAATATAATTATAAACCAGGCATTCCACATCATCAGAACATGAATACAAATCTCTTGTATTTATTACAGATTCTATATTTGTACTACCTTCTCGGATTTGAATTGATGGGCGTAGGAAATGAAAGTGACATTTTAAATAAGAAGAGATCACGTCAAAGGGTGAAGACATTCACTTCCCTCCTAAATAAAATTCCTCCACACAAGATCAAACAGGTATGTGATCAAACTCAAGACGTTTTACAGATAATTTAATTATATATATATATATATATATATATATATATATATCAATACCTCAATGACAGATGCTATGTTCAAACTTATTCAGATAACACATCAAAGGAAGATGAAATAGTGAAGGTATATCTACACTGGTTAGTTGAACATATCACATTATCATGTGCTCAGGTTACGAAGTGTAATGACACCAATTAGGAATCGTCTGTATGCAATATGTGTAACATCTCCCTTGTACATATGTGACGTCACAAAGATCCATTCTTAGACGTCACTAATTCACGGCATAGGCACACTTGCTGGTGTTTTGCTTTGATTCTGGTCTAATTATTATTTTTGAAATGTGCACGATATTGTTGAGCATTTCGATTTTAAATCTGGTCCCATTAGAAAACTCAAAAACATTATATAGGGATCTTGTTTAAGATACTCTTTATCCATCGATTTGCACTGTGTCAATCATTGGAACATGCTACAATTGACACTTTCTCTTTCAGGCCTATAATACCTACATTTTAGCTCTGGACGGCGACGTCGACTTCCGACCCGACGCTGTTAAACTTCTTATTGATCGGATGCAGAAAAACGACAAAGTTGCGGCTGTATGTGGACGTATCCATCCCATAGGGAGTGGTGAGACACACTAATAGATTTTTTAAGCATGGAAAATATGAAGAACATAGTCGACTCTTCACTTTATTTTATAGTGAAAAGGTCTTGAAAAAATGAATGCTGTATTTTCTAAACTGATAATGTATATAGAGGAACTTCATTTACTTGATATTTTTTATGTACAATAACTGAAACCATGTGTCCGAAATTACAATATGAAAATGTGATATTATAATGACGTGTCATGTTGTCCTAATTAGTGGCATTAAGCATTTACTATTAGAGAAATGTATTTTTATGAAAACCATTAACACCACATTTTGCTGGCAGGTCCAATGGTATGGTACCAGCAGTTTGAGTACGCCGTCGGTCATTGGCTGCAGAAAGCTGCGGAGCACGTATTTGGTTGTGTGCTTTGCTGTCCCGGATGTTTCAGCCTGTTTCGATTTGCCGCCCTTATAGACGACAATGTTGTTAAAATGTACACAACCCCGCCATCTGAGGCCAGACACTATATCCAGTTTGAACAAGGTAAAATACAGTCAAGCATCTATTACAAAACTTCTTGAACGAAGTGTAAAATCTTTTTTTTTTTTTTTGAATGATTTAAATATTCTGTAAGATGTATTAAGCTCAATTATGTAAAGGTAAGTATAATATACCTGCAACGTATTACAACGATTATATATATGGGGCAAAGAAGTAATTCCAACAGTGTATAGATGTTTCAATGAAATGTACCTTATCAGTTTAGAAAATACAGCATTCTATATTACTTCTTTGACCCTTAACGTTATATATATATATATTTGTTCATGAACTTTTCATTGAAACATCAATATTTCATAATTCATCGGTATTACAGGTGAGGACAGATGGTTGTGTACTCTATTACTTCAACAAGGATGGAAAATTGACTATTGTGCAGGCGCAGATTCTTGGACATTCGCCCCGGAATCATTCAAGGAATTCTTCGTCCAGAGACGACGTTGGGCTCCATCTACCATGGCAAATATACTTGATCTCCTGTCATCTTGGAATTCTACTGTCAAAATGAATGACAACATCAGTACATTATTCATATTCTACCAGTTGGTTTTAATGGGCTCCAGTATTTTGGGACCCGGGACTGTGACATTGATGATTGCAGGATCTTACGCTTCTGTTTTTAGTATCAACATGTACTACGCGTTGTTATTGTCCCTGACCCCGGTCGTTATCTTTATCGGAATATGTCTGAAGTGTAAAAATGATACCCAGATCATGGTTGCTGGACTGTTGTCTTCCGTATACTCAGTAGTCATGGTAATAGTGACGGTCGGGATGGTGCTCAACATGGCTACAGAATCGTTCCTGAGTCCTAATGTTATCTTTTTAGTTGGCTTGTCCGTGATATTTTGCATTGCTGGTATATCTCACCCTAAGGAAATCTTGTGTCTTGTTCACGGCATCATCTACTATTTGACCGTTCCAAGTACGTTCATTTTCTTAACTATTTATTTTCTGTGTAACCTAAACGTCGTATCATGGGGTACAAGAGAAGGGCCAAAAAGAGTAGACTCTGAAGAAGAGGAACGCAAGCGACTAGAGGAAGAAGAAGAAAAACAAAAGAAAAAGAAAAAAGGTGGGAAATTACTCCGTGCTCTTGGTTTATCGACATTTTTTCACGAAGCTGCATCTTTGATAAAACACGCCTTAGGAGGTATACAGGAAGAAAAGACTGTGTCGGAGAAATCAGATCCAAAAGAGGAAATTGAAGCAGCAATTGTAAAGCGACTAAAGGAACGCCGACCTACTCTACCTATACCACAACCAAAGCCAGCCGAACCAGAACCGGTAAAAACTGAGATTAACCCAGGAGCGTGGGGTGAGGCTGATTTCCTTGGAACCGAGAAAGTTCAAGATATTTTTAAACAGGAAGAGGAGTTTTGGCAGTACACAATTAAGAAATATCTGGAGCCAATAAACGAAGACAAAGACAAGCAACTACAAATTAAGGACGATCTTACTAGTCTAAGAAACAATGTAGTGTTTGGGTATTTTTTGATGAATCTTTTATTCATGATTGCAATATTTCAGTTGCAACTAAATGAAGAACAACTGTCTGAGTTCTTCATTTTAGGAGAATACGAGCCGTTATCATTGGCATTTCTCAGCGTCTTTGCCATTGTACTTCTGACACAGTTCGTCGGAATGCTTCTTCATCGCTGGGGAACGTTCCTTCACCTTATGTCTAGCACGCGCATAGGACTATGTACACGAAATTTTGAAGAAGAATATGCTGAAGTCGCCTTTAAGGAAGCGGGTCGACTTCAAACCGGGGATCCAGAACCAGATTATATAGAAGATCTTGATAGTGACACAGAGGGTGGATCCTCGAGGAGCAATACTTTAGTACGATGTGACGGCATTCCGGAGGATCCACCAGACTACCCGGATGACGATCAGTCGGTCATACTTCCTGCCACAACAGTGCCTCGTGGATGGGAAGGTAACATACCAGAACCAGATTACGAGGCTCTGGAACCTGATTATCCGTCAAATGACCATCGGGAACAGGAAAGAACCCCCCATCACCGTTACCAAAACGCTTACGAACGTAATTTCTCGAAGAGGTTTGAGACCATGAGAAACATGTACCAGAAACGGTACCAGAGACGAATGAGTCAGGTGAATGGTCTTAACAATACAAACATAAGTAGACGGGAGGCTCTGTACAACCGGTCTCTTGAAAGGGGAATGAAACGACGACAGAGTGTAATCGCTTAGACCATAGTCTAATTTTGCCTTTTATATAACTGAACAGTACCCGAGTATACCTAATTAGAACTCTAAATTGTCCCACTATCATAAGCAAAACAAAAATACTGAAGGTAAATTTCCTCAAAATTGGCTAATTTCAACTATTATATACATCATATAATAATGAATTTCACAATATTTGCTGGCATGTTTATTTGAAAGCATAAAAATTAGTTAAAACTACGTTCAGAGCATGAATATAATTAACATTTTTGTGAATTTAAAAATGATTTTCAAACTTGAATACATTTTCTTTACATTTTCATATGATACTGGGACAGAGGCAAACAAGAATTGTCTCAATTCCTTAATCAATTCCATTAATGAAACCTATTTTATCGATTGTATTTAAATCGATTGAGTGGTGAGCTGTGTCTGTGATACATTGTAATATAATTCTAAATTTCATTTTGCACTTTGTTATAGGGTCTGTGATGGGCTAATAGTAGCATATGTGACCCAAAAAACAGCTGTTACTACATGTATTAGTATGGAAAGCTATTTTTCCAAGAGGCTACTTTTAAAAAAATTCAAATCACCATTTTGCCGTATTCTCCTTCTAGTGGTCTCATATTGCAAAAACTAAAATCGCCGTGAAAAAAATTGCAAGATCTACTGTTTATCATTAATATTGTATCCTTGTCTTATTTTGCATTATTTTAAGTATTAGAAGTTTTAAAAGAAATAACTTGAATCTACTGTTGATAATACTCTCAGCAGTGACAATTTCTGTCGTCTTACCCAAATTGGATCAGTACCCAAATCGGATCACTTTTTGCAAAAATACTTTGAAATATCCTTAGAATAGATAACCATGCACCATTTTGTTGTCTACAAATAGTAAGTGTTTCAGTAAATGAATATAATTCATCCTCAGAATTTTCAATGAATGAATAAAATGATGGTTTGGTGATCCGATTTCTCCTTAGACGATATCAAACTGATAAAGCTCAAACTGACAATATTTCACATATGGGTCAAATAAGCGGCAATATAAGGAATTGATCTGGATGTTTCCAACATAAGAAAGTATCAACTGAGGTGAACTTACTTACACATATACTGTATTATCCATGAATTTCCATGAACATGACGCACTCAGCATGTAAACTCTAAGCCTAGGCCTACACACGCCGCACATAGCAAGGCCGAGACTACAAACAACCGAACCCAAGGTTGGAATTACGACACATAATGTTCCTTCCATGACATACGAATTAAAGTTCTTTCATATTATTTATCCATGAATGATCCACGACACAAAAAACGTCTAGCTACTGAAAAATTTGCACGTGAATTAGTTTCGAGATTCCTGAAATGACGTTGCGATGTTACGTCATATTTTACTACACTAAAGTTATGAATGAATGAAAAAATGTTTAAATGATGTTTTTTGTTTTCCTTTCCATTGATAGTGATATGGAATTATAGGGATTGAATCTGGATATTTCCAGTGTTCATGCAAGTATAAACGGGTACAAATTTACTTACACACTTCATATGAACGGCATTCGCTTCGCTACGACCGCTCATATGGTGTGTTAGTTAATTTCCGCCCGTTCATACTTGCATGAATACTGGAAAAATCCAGATTCAATCCCTATATTAATATTTAATGAGACAGTGAAGCCAAATCACCGTGCTCGTATTTATTTGGTATATACTGTAATCCACATTGACCTTAATTTTGTAATCGTGAAAGACATTGTGGACCGATGGAGCTTTTCCCATTAGTTTTTCAACATTCGACTTGTACGTTCACTTTGCATTCTTTTTCCGCCAACTTTATATTTCCTTCCGTCCTCCAGCGTATTTTCGTTATATTCTTTGCTCCAACTTCATTTATCTCCCTTGTTTCTACACGAGTCACACAAGCTACACCAAAGGTAAAAGGCTAAGGTTCAAATGTAATCATTGAGATGTATGTATTTTGTAACAGGTTTTTCACGCTCTCAATATGGTTTAAAAAGTACCCGATGTTAATCAGATCAAGATGTAAATATTTTCAAAAGGCAAATATAATAATAATTATCATGTTCATTGAATATAATATGTATACCATCGTGTTCAATATCATAATTAAAACAGTTCAAAAGGTCGATCCTAACTAAACTGTATAACAATTTGCTTACATTCTCCCAACCTTCACATTGTTGGTAGCCTAAGGTATGGCAAAATTGTAATTATAATATACATTTGTTAATAAATAATTTTATTCAAATTGTATTTGTGTCTTCATTGGCACGATTGTCAAGAACCTATTTAATAATCAACTAATGTGATATTTATATGAACAACTAAATGTTTTTTAGTATTGATATACATTCATGCAGAGCGGCAGAGACAAAGGCGAAATTAATCCGCCATCCTTGTTGTCGTGCTCGCATACTTATAGACACGAGAAGCTTAAATTGGGTTAGAGAACAGGCAAATTAAATTATCATTCTTTACCTTGGGGTTATTACCAAGAATCTAAACTGAGTGAGTAGAGGATCCCCGCAAATCCACCAAAAACTGTAAATATACATTTTAATTTTTTTTTTCCTGCTTCACTATATGTTTGACAGATCATTTCGGAAAGGAAAATAATGACTTGCGTCACATGTATGAGAATACAATAAAGATAAAATTTAACAAAAATTCAGCAACATTTTTCTGAGTATAAAAATAATACTGGCCAGACTAAGATTAAACCACCCATCATTAGACATTTGTCCCATTAAGTGAGCTACAATTGTACCTGGTCTACCCTGTTACGTGTAGTATAGCCAACACGAAATAAGGGGAGGTTACTGCATATACAAAAACTAATAAGGGGAGGTTACTGCATATACACAAAATCTAATAAGGGGAGGTTACTGCATATACAACAACTAAGAGTAACTATCTGGAGTTTTGCCTGCGGTACGGCAGTGATCCTTCAATTCTTGTATCCTTTGTGTCAAGATTATTTTGTTATATGTAATTTGTTATCAATTGTTAATTTTTCATGTCAGTCGTACATGCTTAGTTGAATTTGTATTCACACACTTTTATTTTTATTTATTTAATTTAAATTACCTATTCAGCTTTGTATCTCGTAAACTTACATCACTCATTGTGTGTTGTCCTACCGTACGTTAAGCGGCCTATTGAATAAGGTTTTATGATTTTAAGCACATTTATTATGTTTAAATATCACTCGTGATTGAAGTATAACCACTTTTTTCCACTGGATTTTTTTCGTTATTTTTGCTCATTCACAGGGTATAATCGTGAATGCGGTACTTTGATACATGTGTTAGTTTGGCACGTGTACATTTAAACTGTGATATAAACCGCAATGCAGACTTGTATCACTACTACTTCGGTAACGTCATTAGCATTTGCCTAGCTTATCTCATATGATGTGGTAATGCAGACATGCGATTGTTTGACAAAGACTGTGTCTTAAGGACTTGTGTACTACTATAAGTTGGGTACAGATGATAAATGGATGTCTCTAAATATACTAAAAACAGACAGTAGTGTCGCCTTTGTTTACTGAAAATCGAGATACATCTTTGAATGTTTTCCGGGATTTTTTCTTAGATCAGCGGATCACAAAATATTATTGCTTGTAAAATTGAATTTCCAACGTTTTGGCCACTGGGATCACCGATGTCACTTACATGTTGTAAAAAGACGACACAGCTTTGTATTGCAGTGTTATTTTTTTCGCATACTGTATCAAGTTTTAAAAAGTGCAATCACCTGTGTGTGTAATGTTCATCTTTGACCGAAAATGTAGAGCCGCTAAAATATCTGGCAATACGTATATATCAAAATTGTTATATGATTACAATAGGATAAAATATGCATTAAATTACTTAATCAGGGATTCATATGTAAATGTGTAAAAAAAAATCAATGTTATTGCATTAATATCTATGCTAAATTAAAAGGTACCTATTATGTCGATAAGGAATGTAATTTAAATTGTACGTTAGTGTGTATTTTAAATAGATTTATTCCTTTGTTCCTATTGTAAAATATCTCTTTGACGTTATTTATTTCATCTGTCATCGAAATATACATTTAACATCGATTATTTGTCTGAAGTCACAGTTTGAATCTCAAATTGAATATTGTATAGATCAATAAAGTCAACACTTTGCCCATATTAAATTTGAAAGTATTTTAATCTCCAGCCAGTCAATCAATATTTTTCAATTTCCTTCTTACTCGATCTGTGTGGCATGAATTGTTTATAGAAAAGATGTGATCATATTTATATTTGCAACAAAACTGAAACGGCAATCAACGAATTTATTAAAAGATTTAAAAAGTATTCTGCTATGTCCTAAAGCATTAAGCTGGTTTTAAAAAAATCGTTATTAAAAATATTCGTAAGACACGACGATTTTACTGATGGATGGCAATTTTCACTATTTATATGTAATAAATTTGTAACACAAACGCATGTGTCTTTTAAAGAAGACAAAAGATCATTCATAAAATGAGTCAGCGATGTCTTATAAATTGTAGCTTGATAAAATACGAATTAACTATATGTAAGATCCCATACTTGTATGTAACATTCTATTACTCGAGGGCAGACGAGCATTTGATCTTGATATAATCGTTTTTATAAATTTATATTTAAAGCATGTTCAAAGGTCCGATATATGTAGCCCAAGAACCCATGGATTCGAACCCACGTCTTCTATCACGTATCACGCTATTAAATATCGTTCACCTTGCCCCCAATCAATTTTTATTTTAGTGTGATACAAAGTTTATCAAAGAAATAAGAACCAGAGAACATTAAGGTATACTATATACGTACTGAATACGCAGATGCTTAAAAGTTCGTTACGTTTCGAGAAGACTGCTGACATCCTTTTTCATCACTTGCTAGACATAATCCACATCCTGACGTTCGTAGTCATTGAAATGTTAAATAGTCTGCCTAATGAATAATCGAAATATTAATCAATATACAGGCAAAAAGGAACATATTATAATATGGTGATCACGAGTACTGTTCACGAATAATTAAAATTTCATTGAGATATTAGAGTGACAATTGTTTTATGAATCTGTTTTTAGAAAGAAAAAAAAGATAAATGTCATTATCGGCTCTTTCATTATCACAATGTAAAAAAATCGGAATTTAATAAGAGGATTAGGGACGTGTCCGATATTATACCAGTCTTACTTTCTAATTTCATAATAACCTAACTCAATAGAATTATTTGATTTCCCTATTTATGAGCTAAAATGTGAAGTAAACAATTATGTAGACAATTTCATGCATAAATGAGAAGTACATTCATTAATTGGCTTTGTTGTACAAAATGCCTCCTAAATACCAACTTCCTATTTAACATTTAGAATTTTTCTAATTAGATTATTCTAAATTTTAACATATTCATGATTATTTCCACTATATGGTTATTCGTCTGCCTTTTAGGCGATATCTAAACACGAATAAAATCATTAATAATTGTAAATATTTCTCAAGTTGAGAACTTTCGTGATACAGGGATCTAGTCCAAATTGTGTTATACTTTGCCAGCTAAATAAATGACATATCAAATTATATTTTTTCATTATTTTCCTAGCTGAATACAGAAAAAAATGATTTTGAACTTTAATTTTATGTAAACAATTCGTTGAAATGTTGAATCTCCAAATACTTAATTTAACCAGAACAGGATTCCATTTAACTTATCTATCCTGACAGCCTACCAAAAAAGGAATATATCTTCGTGCTAAATGTATTTAATGGACATATGGTGCAGCAAATATTTATTTTAATTTCCACAGTCCTTAATTCTAAATAAGTGCTACATTGTTTTTGTTTATAGCGACTATCAGAAATAATTTTAATAATGAAATCTAAATCAACGAAACGTTATTTGAAAATGTGCTTATCACTTTTATTTATTTTTTGCTGTATTCCTTGTTTTTATCATATCTGTTTGTATAAGATGCAAACACGTTTTGATTTTTTTTGTATTATATTTACATGTTGTGTACCATAAATATCAAACTAATAAATAGATATTTCTTTAACAACGAGAATTTCTGTTATTGTGACTTATTGAATATTGTTTATTTTGTTAAAACAGCATATATAACCATGATTACATGTAATATGATAAAAGATCTTTGAAAATAAATAACATTTTGATATATTCATTAACAACAAACTATTTAGAATTGTTCTAAATTCCATTTTGCAAAACAAAGTCGAGAAACATTTTATTTCTGTTATATAAGTTAATCAAGTTAAAAGAAATACATTTGGCAGCAACACAATTCTAGTTGGGAGTAAAGTGTTCACGCCTACATCTAGCTCTTGTCAAATATTTGCATATGTATTATGTACACTTAGATCTACTTAAATTGATATTTAACATGCACAGGAAAAGAAATGTGCAACAAATTATAGTTCAACTGCTCATGGATTTGTCGTTAATTTGTTTATGCATGTTTATTATTAAAATACACTTTATTTTCAATGTGCAAACCTGTTTACAGAGAAAGCCAACTTGTTGAAATAAAATATGTATCACCAAGTCAGGTATTTGTTATGCTTTGGTATCAATGGTAAACACATTACAGATTATGATGAAAGCGGTAATAAACTGTGTTCAGCAAAAAAAAAAACACAGAAATAATGAATACAAATTCTGACATATATTCTGAATAGATTTCTATTATGGTGTTTGTTTTATAAGTTTAATATGACTCATCATTGGCACAGTTACATAGAAATAATAAAATAACAAAGCGCCAATACACAAGGACCCAAAAATTAAAAATAAACCGGAGCAGGAACCGATGACATCAAATAAAAAAAATAACTGCGTGAGCTCCCACAAAAAGGACTCGAAATGATTTGCTATATACAATGTACCAAGCTGCCTCGTGTCGAATGATCGTAAATGTCCATCATAACGTTAAACACCGAAAATCCATTGTTGGAATTAAAAAACAACAAACGTCTACTTGTGCATTGGCCATATTTTGGTTAATAAACATTCCTCGTGACTGCAAAATCACAAAAGAAATAAGGTTTCTCATATCATTTAGTTATTTCTTTCAGAAATGGTGATTAATAAATGACAGAATAACAGATATAGAAGTAAATCAAATACAAATATTAGGTTGTTTAAAGACAGTTTCCGATTTATAAAAAAAAGTGAGATGAATTGAAAGAAATATAATTTGAATTCTCATCATTGAAAAAATAAATTTTGATAATTTTCATAGCTACCAAAAGTAGAAACATTAATAGTCTGACACAGTCATTAACTGTCTGCAGAATAGTAGGTTTTGAACAGGTGTGTATTTTTTATTCATTATAATTACCACAGACACTTATTGTTACAAAGAAAAGTGGAATTTTGTCAGTTTTGGCGCCACACAGAATACAGGTGTAATTAATATTAACAAGTACAAAATGACATTTTGACATTTGCACTCATGAATGGAAAAATACCTCAACCTTTCTTTGTGGTAACAATTAAATTTTTCATATTTTCACTTTTTCCTTATTGTGTCTTGCATGATCCTACGCTACGTAAAAATATGAGCACTTCTGTTTTAGTGACAATAGCATTAATCTGGCTACTAGTAATGTCAAATTCTTCATGGATTGCTACACATCCTCTTAATAATAAGGAGTAAGTGTCTTACTTTGGGGCAAACAAATATGTTTTGTTAAGTTTTACTTAAAAGTGCTTCATTATTCTCGAGGTATTACTTGGGCAATATAAGACAAAAATAACACACAACGTTTTCTTATATATGTTTTTACATCGTTGCGGTTTTCAAGCATCTTTAAAGTAAAAAATATGGAAGTACAAAAGACATCATCAAATTCATTACCTAGTAAGAGACAAATAAGCATTTTCTTTAACATTTTGAACTGAATTATGTATTAAATTGAGGATGCAGACATGGGTAAAGGATGGATGATTAAACTTCGTGGTGTGGAATACAGTAAACAGGTCACAAATATACACCACAGCGTCAACACATAAAAAAAATACAGAGCTAAAATGTAAAAAAAAAAGGAAACATATCATGAACATCTACAGATAAAATGAGCAGATCCAAAACCCTGAAACGTCGTACACACACACACATACAGCTAACACAATAGTTTTTAGATATCAATTATCAAGAAAAAGAAAACTGTTCGCATTACCTCCATATTACTTTTCTTATACATTGCATTACAAATCAGATTCAATCTTCTGCAAGGCTTTTCTACATCGAACCAAATAACAACGATATTAACAAGACGCCTTGAAACAAACACAATGGGAAAAGGTGATAAGCATGTTAAGAATGTATAGGAATGTTTGCCTTTACCAACAGTTTCTGTTTTAATTTTAACTCATTTTTAGATCCCCGTTTCAGCTACAGTTACAATCAAACCCTAAACACATTAATATTCTAAAACTTCTTTATTCTACACATTAAAAGTGCTACACTACAATTTCATCTGGAAGATGAGATAAGTTTATATATTTTAAAAAAATCAGGCTGAACTGAAAGTGGTAAAAACCACAAAAACAGCATGTTTTCAATACGATTGATGCATCAAACTGCTAACAGAGAAAATGGCTGTATCCATGAGACAGGATTTGGTTCACCTCTTTTCTTTTGGATATGATAGAACCTTCAATGTACTACTGTGATCCAATTTAAGCCAATAAGTTTACCTAATTATTATAAGATGTCTGCCATATACTTAATTCTACTGTCAGATATATTGATGATGTTTTGTTGCTAATAAGAGGAATTTCGATGCGTTCTTTATTCTAGTTTCGGTGATAACGGTTATGTTGGATTGTGACTAAGACTTTCCGAGATGAACTGTTGCTTCTTATACATCCTCAAGAGCTCAAATTTAAATATTGATTTTAAATAATAATATACATTTTACGTGACGACTTTAATTTCAAGATTGTGAATGTTCCTTTCCTTGGTAGTAGGATTTCATACTCCCCACCTTTTTGAACATACATTTACATGTCACAGTTAATGCGTTATTCCAGAGCTGGGGCGTTGACCTAAGTTACTTCAGTATATGCTTACGACATTTATTTATCTTCCCCATGACCTAAATCTGCTTTTGGGCTTTTAGACGTTAAGTGTTTATCATGTTTACCCTGTCTAAATTGGCTGATGACTTTAATATTTTCATTAATTTAATAGGAAATATCATCATAACGTGCCTTTATATGATAGGGAAAGCTTTACCCCTTCAAAGCATATAGCATCTCCTCAGTTTTACTATTGTCTTATTGACATGTAGTTCCAAGTTTGTTCTTGTAAGGTGTAGATATTTCGTTCTTAATTTATCTAACAAAATTCATAAATCATGGAACTGACTACTGAGAATGCATGCTTAAGTCATTAAGCAATAAAACACTACTTATAAATGTTCCCAAAGTTACCATAACAAAAATGTAAAAACATTAGTTGTATACATACGGTGTTATGTAGATCACTTATACTTGATGGTGGTTAAGAACTTAACAAAGTCCTGTAACATATCACCTGACAAATGGGGACACGTTTGTCACACTTAAACCCGTCACACTTGGCTGATTTCTCTAACTGCCCTGTTATTGTATTACCTGATCATATGCATGTGTTTATATACTAATTATATCACCAACCATATCTAGTAAGGTTACGTGAGGAATGTGATGTGGTAACGAATCAAAGATCGTGTAAACAATGTATCACTTTAAGAACGTAAAGTAATAAATTTTGTATGTGGGCTTCAAATTATCAAGTTTGGGAGTCTTACTGGACTGTACTGTAGGACGACACTAGGACACATGCGGATAAATTCAAGGTGTGCACAGGTGAGGTCATACATTAAAATTGCAGTATGTTTAATTGTTGTGGTGTGTAGTCGGGGCTTGTCCAATGAAGTATTGGTCTTTACCGGTACTACCCCGCCTCTCGAGACCGGTAATCGTTCATCATTCTTGCACGAAATACGTCACAATTAGATTAAACGTCGTCACCAAGTCAGTTAGTAAATACTTCACGGCATGAAGAATTCACATCAAACTTACATTGTTATAATGCACAGAGGATATTCTAAAATGTCATTATGTCTTCACTACTAGTATACAGTGTGGTGTAGCTAAAGGAATCGCGAACTAATTGCTTGCACGTAATACTGGAAGCAATTGCAATACGTCAGTTTTGACATAATTTGAGAACTTGGATTACAAGGATAAACAAATCATTGAAAGGTTGAGAACCTCATTAGTTGCGACAAGAACATTTTCGGAAGAACACATCGTGGGACCATAATGCTGCTGTGACGTTTCGGCAGGAATCTGGGTAATGATACATATTTATTATGTAAACAAACGCATAAATCATATATGAAAGAAGCGACAAGATGACATACGATTTGCATAAATGAACAATCATTTTATGAAAAATAGGTAGCTGCCATATTTTGTGTAAGAATTTCTAATGAAAACGTTCACTTGTTTCGCTGAAGATATAGCTGGACAAATTGCCCAATATTTGTCTTACTATGATGGTACATGTATGTGTTCACTTAATAAACCAGTTTTGTTTCATGTGATATGTTCCAAAACGTAAATATAATCTACATATGTATTGTTCCCCGATCAGTTGTCACCCATAGATCAATCATATACAGGACACACAAAGACCCATTAGCAAGAGTACCCATACCTATAATGTTGTGTGTTCCCCCTAGTTTGTATAATATCATCTTAATTTTATGATCAGCATAGTAGTAATGAACTCTTGTTTTATCCCGCTGATTATCATTATCACAACATTATCTTATTGTTTTAAACCATATATCTGTGTTGTTAATTTAACTTATTGCAAATATTTGTGTTTAGCTTCCTTTCTTTTTTTGAGGGAGGGGTTAGCGCGAGGGGGTTAGATGTTTTGTGTATATTGACTGCTATTGTCTGTGTCTACTAAAACCCTTATATTAGATTATTCACATCTACTACCTATTCATAATATTGCGTTTAATAAACATGTATGCAAAATTGAGATCATAACGAAAAATATTAGCATAATTCTTTGCCTTAATATCATATTGTCAATAAATGCTCTTGCGGAGAAACCCTTTTACAACTCATAAATAAGTCTTTCATATGTATGTTGTACATTTAAAATATTATTCTCCATGTCAAAATTCCTACGTACCGTCTCGGCAGTCATCACACTCGTAATATGAATATACATACATCCTTTGTTTTAGGTGTCATAACGTAGAATTAACTGCATATGTAATTGAGTTTGGCGACATTCTCTTTAAAGCACGACAATTGTAATCAAAGGCCGTCAGGTACAATGTAAAAATTAACAAGTCTTGTATAGGTATACAATTGTACGTAAGATATAAATGCTAATAGACTTATTGAAATATTTTAAATCTTCAGATGTCCATAATTGATTGAGAATTTATTAATGATTTAATGAAAGAGATAGATTTAGACAATTTGTTTAATTTAGACAGGAAATTAAACTGCTACATTTTTAATAAATGGTAAATGTCTGAGTAGTTAAATCCTATGCGTATTCAGATTATTCCTAGAGATTAGATATGTAACGTTTGTAACAAGATGCGATCCTCGTACTGAGCTAATTATTCATGTTAATGTTATAGAAATCTGGTCATCAGGTGTTGTCTCTAACAATGGGCATAATTCGATCAGTAAAATAGAATGAAATATAACGACACCATCATGCAACAACATACAAGAACAAAACCAGATACTAAATTACAATAAAGAAGAGACCTCAAAACAAAAGGCAGGACAAAAAATAAAATGGAGGCGACGCCAGGTGCTTCGGAAGGGAAAACGTTTTTTGTTTTTGTAGGGCACAACTATAAAAACAGCATATATGTTTTGTTACTCATGTAAGGATACGTAAATCACATTGTAAAGATCAGCTTATGACGACAGTAGTACATATATATAGCTTACATTAAAGCATCCTCTCTTGAAAGCTGTGCTTACATAAATATACTGATGAACAAGACGTATTTACTTGTATCAAGACCATTATGATACTTAGATCTTAAGATTTTGTATTGAAACAGCAAATTGCTATTGTATCATAACACTTACCTGCTCTACAAGAGGTAAGGCGTGCAAGATACTGGATAAAGTTATCTCAAACAAAAAACAATATAATATCTTTGTGTGTGGATTAAAGTCATTGTCGATGAAGTAACAGGTCTTGTAAATTCCGTTCTACATTATATAAACCGAAAGCTATTCTAATTAAATATTGACTGCATCATAGGGCTACTCGTTTTATTTACGACTCATTATAGGTACTAAAGGTCTAATGAAATCAAATTTATTTTAAAATCTAACAAATTTGACATACACATAATTTATTATAAAACCAGTATTTCATGTAAACCATGAAAGAGCAAATCCAAGCATATCTATTATAATATTATTGTTATTATCATATTGTTATGTGCTATGAGGTTGAAATCTGGCAAAAAAGATATTTCACAATCACATTTCAAAGATATGATTCATGTTCCTGTTGTACGTAATAAATTATTCTTAAAATTCATTTTATACTTAACCGCAAAAAGAGCTTAGTCCCATAAATTTTTTACTGGCAGTTGATCGATATCACAAACAACTATTGTTTTAGATATGAATTATTGGTAAGCATCAAAAAGGACCCATTTCCTCTCTTAACGATATATTCGTAGTAAATGATGTTTCCTCTCATAACAATACTATACAAAGTAACCACTAGTTCGCATACAAATGATTATGAGTGAGATCCCATCTGATCTATAGGACGTGGTCTTGTACAGGAAACTCATTCATTACGTTCTGTGTGATTCATTCCAGGAAGCCAAACATGATACGAACAACAGTATATATTTATGTACGTATTACAGCATGTGGTATGTCTGAACACACGCTAACTGTCCGCCTCGCTACTTATTCAGCAAAATGTGTGGTTGTGGTGTTTTTATTAACGCCAAAACAAATGTTATATGTGCGGTTTGTCCTTGTCGTACTGGCTAATGATTGTATGGGAAACGACGACATGTAGATACACTGTTAATCGCGGTATGAAGTCGCCTGTTGTCGTCAAAAATACAACAATTACTGTGAACCGCAACACTTCGTTTTCTGTTTCAAACAAGCAATGTTAAGAGTCTACACAACCTTATTTCACCTGTTGTATATTTTCTTACCTTTTATTAATGTATTATCTATGATTCTTTTACTAATGTTTTTAGGCGTACATTGCTATTAACAAATGCCTTATTTGTATATGTCGAGCCATTCTCGTAGACACATGCTTCCCTATTTTAAATAAGACAGGGTAGTATATCACAGCGTTTAACACATTGGTCATTATCGGAGCTCCAAAACAATGCCCCAAAAAACAGACGAGACATACAAAAAACGGAAAGACATGCATCTCAATAAATTTACCGGAAGCCATATCATGTGGTTCGGATAGGTGAAACGTGACTCTCATCATGTTGTCTCCAGGTAAATTCTGAAAGTACATTATCTTTGTATATAGGTCACGAACGAGCTAAGAAAGAGTAAGCAAGTCTGCAAACATGAACACTGGAAAAGAAATGAAATCACGAAGTTGTTGCTTCTGAGAGACTTAACATATCCAAGTATTTGATGTAAAGGTATAAAGATTACATGGCGTCTACCTTGAACAGGATGGTAATTACCTGTCATCAACATGTGTTTTACCACAAAAGGGACAAGCTATAAAGCAAAATGTTCACTGACCAATGGTCAAACATGTCGATGCAAACATGCAAGCAAGACGAATCTAACAAACGTATGTGGACTTTAATGACCTATCCGTTTTGTCTGGAGCAGTCATGCAAATCAGACATTGACCTTTGACCTACTCAAGCGTCATGTGTCAGAAACTAAACTTTCAGAACAATCCTAGACAGAAACATATATTATCCGCTTAGTCAATTCATGTAAACGGTTAAGCGTACTTGAGATTGTCCGCAGTGTGATGGAAGAATGTCCTGTTTTTTAACCAATGAACGTCATCAGATAGCACTGACCAATTAGCGTTCTGATACGAAACAGGATTATTTGACGAAAATATTTCTCAAAATCCCGAGCAGTTTTGCAGTGTTTGATGTTTATTTGGTTAACATGTACTTGCTATTTGTAGTTTCCCTTATATCAGTGTGACTTATTATTGTTATCACTATTCCTTGGTGTCTGACAATCTTGTATGATCCCTTGCTGTGACTTTTGTCGTAGTTCTCTTTTCTACTAGTAAGTTAGAATTACAATAGAAGTCATCATTCTGCATGGCACCGGATGAGATCTGATCAGTTAAAATCAAATTATGATATGATATCAACTGGCCAATGCCAAATAAATGTATTGTAACAGTAGTTATTAGTATCCTAATAATATATAAATTTAAATTGGCAATTTTAAATGATTGATATATAATTCATTATCCTAGCTGGAACCCATCTTCTTTTTAATTCGTGACGGTGCTCATATTTGTTTAAAAAAGACAGTAATAATGTAAAGTAATTTGCCTTTTATACAGAAGTTAAGTAATGAAAACTCTATTTGCCTTTTATTTAAATAATAAAACCTATTTCACCTGTAAATATATTGGGAATACATGTATGATACATTGTTATATTGTCGCTATGTTATATTTCTAATTCATTGAATCTTACCTATCAAACTGTTTAAAATGTGCACGTCAGCCACGAAAACAAAAACGGTGAAAGGCGATGAATAGCTAATGACCTACGGATTAAAATTAATCAACCGGATAATACTGCCGCCTGTTCGTTTAAAACATTCAAGTCGCCCTCATTCATCACAAAAAAACCACTTACGTACTGATGTGCATGACAAAGCAAACGTTATGACGTAATTTCTACAGAGCTTTTGTCCGTAATATTAGAATTGAGAAAGATGTGCCAAAGCTTAGTATTGTGTATTAAATGTGGGTTAGTGAGTACAGAACTTAAAGGTGTTAGGCTATAATTACAAGAGGTGAATAGAGATTAATGTGTGTTCTTTTTTCTTAGCATTACCTTAACGGATAGCTCCGCGTTAAACATTAGCCAGCATTCTTTTAAAACCTACATTTCTTCATAACTTTTTTTTTTTAATTCTGACACCCCCTCAACATTTTATGTTATAGAATTTAATATATATCTTTGTTTTTGGCGGATTTTTATTCAGTCTTTGCGAATTACAGAGTTATCTTTTCTTGGGAGCAGGTTTTGATTGGTACGTCATTGGTTTGTGCGAGAAAATTACGTCGTTTTCTCAAAAATTGATGACGTTACTCTCACAAACAAGTGACGTAAGAATCAATACCTGCTCCCAAGCGAAGATAACTCTGCAATACGCAAAGACGGAATATGTCACTTTTAGATTCAAGCACCTTATTCAGCAAACACATCGTTCAGATATTGAGATCCGATTCCGTCCTCATGTGTTGAAGCTTTGACTTCATTTCTATGTAATTTGTGCCAGAAGCATTATTAAATATATGTCATTATGTGAGATTTCTCAATCTTTCATGATGCATACAAATATTCAATTAACAGTTATAGTGAATATTACCCGTTACATCTGACAAAAACAAACTTGCAGTTGAATAAAAATGTAAAAACAACCAAATGGACTGTAGTAAGAAGAGTGTGCAATTTCTTATGAATTGTGCCTTGTTATAAATTCATGCGAAAGTAAACACATTCTTTTTAATGCATATATATATATGAATAATATTAATCTGAATCATTGATAGAGGGTTTCTATATTCGTTTTTTCGTTCTATTAATGTTTCCGAAAGGATGATTGAGCAATAGCTGAAAGGATATCTATTAACAAATTTCAAAAACGTCAGTGTCTATCATAGATAATATTCTTCTTCTTCCATTTACTGCGGCAGATCTCATAGATATGAGTGCAGTTGCCGCTAGTGGCCTACCTACATGTACTAGCTTATCTTTGTCAGACAGAAAACATCAAATGGGGGTTTCGCCATCCATTGCTTCTGTGGCTTTCGTGGTTTGTTTCTGTTGATTTAAGAGTTTACTTTGAGCCTGTCTGTATCATTTAGCGTTTTAGTTCGAATTGGATGTGGTCTGATTTTGTTTCTTTTATGTTGACACGACGCCAGGTGTTTTGATTTTATATCGGGCCACTGATTGGTCAATTTTGATCTTGTAGACAAATGCATTCAATATTTTATTTTCCGTTGTAAAACCGATGATATTCAAGATTTCAATAAACAGTTTCATATTCCATTCTTTTTACATGTAATAAGATGATGTCATTTTAATATCGCCAAGATGTGCATAACTATAAGATTTTAATGTGAAGATGAAATCTCTATTTATAAGATATAGTTGTATCACATGACTACATGTGGTGAATGCATTCACGTCACATTGGTGCAACTTGCCTCATTCAATATCGTCATATTGACCACAGTAGACACGAAATAAAATAAACAACTGCAAGATAGTAATGTGACGTCGGATTAAGATAAATAAAAAAGTTAAAACGGTTCAACACTAATCATTTTTCATTTTGTTTTGCTCGGCAGCGTTTTGCGTAGACCTCGTTTACCGGCTTATGAAAATTCCAAAATATTAAATGCAAGTAGGGTATTGTTATTTGTGCATTCACACTTTATTTCTTTGTAAAATGCCGGAAGTAACTACTTATCTCTGAATCTGTGTAGGTGTAATAAAATAAGTAAATAGGGGCAAACCATACGTCGACCGATTAAATAATACGTGTATTTCCATAACTATCAGAATTCCTGGCGTTTGACATGTCATAAGTATTAATCAACCTTTGTAGAATTTCCGACACTAGATCCATCAAGCAACTTCTCAAAACCACATATTAATTGATTTTAATTAATTATCTATAAATAATAAACATGACCGTGCCTATTGACTAGACCACATAAAAACATCAAACTGGACACATGTCAACATTTCAATATTTAATTATTCTTAATGCCAATCTACCATGTATGATTCTTGATTCTTGATTTAAACAATACTAGTTGTATCAAACAATACATGCTGTATCATTTTATAAATTGGATACATCCACTTGATTAATGATACATGCATCATTTAAATGCTTCAAAACGTAGTCAGTTTTCTTGTGAGAGAAGGTATCTATTGAAGAGAGCGTGCATCATTTACGTGGTATTTATATGACAATAGTATAAAATCAGTTCTTAACAATTGGTTGTGGAGTGTTGGCTATTATTATAGAGTACAACAAAATAATCATAACATATAGGAAGAAATAAAGCACCTGTTTAATTGTTTTTGTTGATGCAGAAAGGCGTAAACACTTATTGACTTTATGTATATTTCGTCCATTTTTGACACAACAGTGACACTGAATGCAAAAATGAAGGATCATGTCTGAAGAGTTTTGAAAATTATGAGAATACATGGGTTGTGTTTTATGATCACTTTCCTCATATCCTATTTTGGGATTTTCGTGCTTGTAATAATCAACAGATTGTTGTCTTAGTTTGTTAGTGAACTATCAACTTTATCTGGACTTGGTAGCAGATTGAAGAAAGAAGCTGTATGCGATGAAGAATGATTGGCGGATTTAATTATTTTTCATAATTGTATCATTTTGTATCAAGTTCCGACGTTTTGTGTCTGGAATTAAGGTTCCGAATGCCCGAAAGTTGCACTTTCTCACCGCTCGATTCCTCTCTTGATTTTTCATTCCTTATTATGTCTGGGAAATTGATGCTTATATGAATGCCCTGATACTTAACACATCTCTACATCTACTGCCAATAAATTAAGTCAGATATATATTGGCATTTGCTCTGTATGTATATTATATAAACCTTCA